CACATACCAGTGCCAAAATCAGAACAGTAACACTGGGACTTACTGTCTCTTATGTCTTGGGGCTGGTTTGGTTAGTTATTTTTTGGTTAGTTATTTTTTATTAACTTGACCCAACCTTGTAAAAAGGAACTTCTAGTGAAGAATTGCCTCAATCAGATTGGCTAGAAGGCATGTCTGAGGAATTATCTTGATTGCTAATTGATGTAGGAAGGGCCAGTACACCAAGGGAGACACCATCCCTATGCAGGTAGTCCTGAGTTATGTAAGAAAGTTAGCTGAGTGAGCCAGCAAGTAGAGTTTATCCATGGTTCTTGCCTTGAGTTCCTGCCATGAAGTTTCCCAATGATGGATTGTTGCCTGGAAGTACAAGTCAGATAAACTTTCTCCTCATCAAGTTGCTTTTGGTCGAGGTATTTTATCACAGCAACTGAATGGAACTGGAATAGCAACAATGGAGAAGATTCAGTGAGAAGTTCCCTGTATTCAGTTGTCCTCTTTGTGTTTAATGAGTCTGGAAGTATTGCCTTCCTGTGTCCATTCTAACCTTAGCACTTCTGAAGAATATAGGCTAACAGTTCCTTGGAATGACCCTCAGTTGGGCTTAGTCTGATAACTTCATCATAGCTAGGTTATGTAGAAAGACTATTAGTGGCAATATCTGAATGGCTTTTTAAAATGCTCACTAATGTTACTTATTCTACCTCTATATCCCATACTCTACACTACTATCCCATCCCCAACTCTAAATTAATTCTTCTTTTTCCACTAGTTCCATTTAACCCTTTACACCATTCAGTTCTATCTCTCCTCCACTGAAATCACACCAAGAACCATTTCTAATTTCCTCACCTCTAAGGATATTCCAGAAGAGACACACATATCTGAATATTCAAAGCTAAGGTCCTTAAATAAGAGAAAATACACATTGTTTATCTTTATGGGTCTTGGCTACTAAATTCACTTTTAAAATATCTGTGAAAAATAGAGTTTGCCTTTAATGTTAGGGGTTTTTGTTCATTTGTTTGGTTGGTTGTTTTTGTTTTTAATGATTTGTGTCTTTTTGCTCAAGATGTTTCTTTTTTGGTTTATTGGTTTGTTTGGCAGAGAGAAATTAACTTGTGGTGTCTATGTTTCTTAATCTGTGCAGATAGAGGACCTGTAAATACTTTAAAAGCCAAGGCTCATGCTCCCTCACTATCTAAAAGGTGTTGTTGACATTGATGTGTAATACATACATACATACATACATACATACATACATACATACATGCATGCATACATATGAGAGAGAAAAGCACACAAGTCACAAGCATACCACCTGTCTTAGTGACTTTTCTATTGCTGGGAAGAGACACTGTGACCAAGGAAACATTACAAAAAAGAGTTTATGGGGTTTATAGTTCCAGAGGATGAGTCTAAACCATCATGAAGGAGAGAATGGCAGCAGGCAGTGTCAGTTAAATCATCTAATCTATCTAGAACTGTAGCTGTAGCTGTGTACTCACATCTAACCCACAGACACAATGCAGAGAGAAAGCTAACTCAAAATCACGTGGTCTTCTGAAACCTCAAAGTGCACCCCCAGTTCTTTCAACAAGGCTCCACCTCTTAATCCTTGCAAAACAGTTTCACCAACCAGAATCAACTATTCAGATATATGAACCTATGAAAGCCATTTTTAGTTAAACAACTACATACTGCCCAGCACATTTTTGCAAAGTTAATACATGTATCAGGAATCACAATATTTTATAACTCCCTCCCCTCCATTAGATTCCCACCTCATATTCACTTACATTCTCAGCTTTCTCAAGAGTAACCATTATCTGACATAGATTTTGTCATTCTTTGAATTTTATCTTATTGGAATTATAAAGTAGATGTTCTATTATATTGGTGATATGATAAGGAGATTAATCTTTATTCAACTAAAACTTTAATTTTTATAGTTATGGTCCCTCATAGGCCACTATCTAGATTTTTATTACTTCATTCATTCATTCAACAAGCACTTACTAAGAATGAGACTAATGCTGGTAGTCTTTGACCTTCTGGCCTGTCCAAATTTTCTTTACATTAAACCCAATAGGAAAATAGTAATCAATTTCAACGATGGGCCTGGCATTGTACAAGGTGGTAGCATACACTTACCCTGCTTCTCTTTATTCTCACTCCAATCAACCTACTATGTTTATCTCAGCTCTACAAACAAGAGATATATTTATAGAGAGGTTTTATTCAACATACATAAAACTTTATACTTCAACCATGGCAGAACATGTATTTAAGCTTGCATCTGTCTATATGTAAAGCTCACTACAGGGGACACATGGAGACACTGCTTTCCATCTCTTTGAACACACCCAAGTTTACCTACTGCTTTAATTGACGAATTAATTGGGGGGACAGTTTGCATTCTTTCCTGTTTCCAACCTTTTAATGTCTGCCAGATATGCCAAGTGACTAATATTCCTCAGAAAATCCTTGACCAAAGTAGGAAGAACCTGCTGGACAATACTTCTGCTTCTCTACCTCTTACTCAAACAATTAATAGACATACAGTCTATTCATAAGTGGCACCTTGGAGGGTCTATAGTAAGACCTCCCACTTTCTCACAGTGGGTGCTCGCCAGTGCATTCATTATGGAATCATCTCATCTTCACTGCATTCTCCTCTGTTGTTCATGTGGTTTTCTGGAACTTCTTTCTTTTTTTTTTTTTTAAACAAAAAACACACAAACGAAAAACCCAAATGATTATATATACATTTAATTAATTCTCCCTAAGTTTAAAAAATGTTTTAGGGACAACATATTCATATAGTTTATTTTTTAAATTTATTTATTAGTTCTAGTTAGGGAACAAGCTTGTTTCACATGTAAGTCCCT